CTTTTTTAATGAATTTTTTTATGGTACTGGGGTTAAATCCAGGACCTTGGTGCATGCTGGGCAGGTGCTCTACCCCTAGGCCTTCAGCTTTGTAATTCTTGATAATATCAAGTATGCTTCTGCTTCAGATATTCACATGGCCAATTCTACTATAGTACTAGGATAAGTTCTACCCTCCTTTTCTAGGTTTCCCTGGCCATCTGCCTTAAGTTTTGATCTTCCCCAGTCATTCTATCACTTTTTGTAATGTTTTCACAGTACCCTTATGTAAAATGATTTTTCTTTTTTGACATGGTTTTTCATTACTATCTCCCCTGTTGGAATTCAAGCTTCAGGAGTTGGAAACCTTAACTGTCTGTCTTCACTGTTCTACTCTGGTACCTAGATCTGTGTCAGGCACAGAGTAGTACTTGGCAAAAATTGATTAAATGAGTGAATCTACTATAGAAAAGATTTGTGAGTCATCAACATGTAAATGGGAATTTAGAATATGATTTAAATAAAACTGTTTAGAGAAGTGGTTCTCCATCCTTGCTTTATATGAGAATATATAGAAATATTTTGAAAATACAAGGATGTCCAGCTCCAGAACAATTAAATCTGAATGAGGCCTGGGTTTTTGTTTTTGTTTTTTTTCTTTTTCTTCCCCCCCCCACCTTTGTTTCAGTTGTTTTCCTTTTTCTTCTCTTTCTCTCCATCCCCCTCCTTCTCTCCCTCTCCCACACCTGTAATCCCAGCGCTTGAGAGGCTAAGGCAGGATAATCTAGAGCTTGAGAACAGCTTGGGCTACATAGCAAGACCTTGTCTCAAAAGAAAAAAAGCTAATGTCCAGTGGTCAAGTCAGGTAAAGGACTGAAAGTATTATATTTAGCAATATGGAAGTAGGAAATTATTTTAGCACAGGGTTTTTAGCCTTAGAACTATTGGGATTTTGGGTTGGACAATTCCTTCTTGTGGAAGGCTGCCCTGTTCACTGTAGTGGGTTTAACAGCATCCCTGACCTCTACTCACTATCTGCTAGTAGGAGCCTCTTTACCCCAATCTGGGGCAACTAAAAGTTTGCAGAGATGCTAGATATCCCCTAGGGGGCAGATTTGCCCCTTGTTGAGATCTACTGTCTTAGTAAAAGTTTGAGTGGAGAATTGAATTCTAAACCCAAACTGAAAAGTTTGGAGATAACTGAAAAGTTGGAGAAATGGAAACATAATGAGGAAAACTTAAAGAGTTTTTAGTTTTTGGCAGTACTCAGGTTTGAACTTAGGGCTTCACACTTGCTAGGCAGGTGCTTTACCACTTGAGCCATACCTCCAGCCCAAGAATTTATTTATTTTTGGCAGTACTACAGATTGAGCCCAAAGCCCTATTCATGCTAGGCAAGTGCTCTGCAACTAAGCTAATGTCCCTAGCTTTAAATATTTTGAGACAGACTTGCTAAGTTTCTCAGGCTGGCCTCAAACTTGTGATCCTTTTGCCCCACCTCGGGAGAAACTGGAATTTACAGGTGTGTGTGTGCCATCCTATTCAGTTCACTTCAAGAACCTTAATTACAAAGAGTGATAGAGTGCAGCATTGGTGGTATAGTGGTGAGCATAGCTGCCTGCCTTCCAAGGGGTGGTAGAAGTTGGGTTGATGTGAGAGAAGGAATATGAGCTGGTGGGAGGTTGTTTTTAAGATGGGTGAGAGTGCCTGTAATCCCAGCACTCTGGAGGCTGAGGCAGGAGGATGGTGAGTTCAAGGCATGCCTGGGTTTACATAGTAAACTGTTTAAAAAACAAAAAGATGGGTGAGAATCGAGCATATTTATACACTACTTAGAAGGAAATGGAGGTAAGTGATGTTCAAATCCTTTGAAGGAATGACATCTAGAACACTGACAGCATTTGCTTTAGAAGAGAATGTTGTGCTGAGGATATAGCTCAGTGGTCGAGTGGTATGCCCAGCATGTATGCCCTCTCACAGAGAGAGAGGGAGATTCTTACATTCTAATCAGAGGTAAGGATAGGGGCAGGTGCTGATAGAAGCAAATGACTAACATTGAAAGTTTACTATGGGTCACTTGCTGCCATAAGCATTCTTTGTCTTACTGACTTGTTTAACTTGCAACAATCCTATGAGGCCAAGGTATAGGGAGACATTTCACAGAAGAAGTGGATAATGCAAATGGTTCAGATTGCCACTGGGAAGGGGCTTTGAGGGTGCAATTGAGGACCCAGAGGCATTTAGAGCTTAAGCAACTTGCCTAAGATCACAGGTCTAGTAAGTGACAGAGCCAAAATTCTAACCCAGACATTTTTTTTTTTTCCTAATGAGAACAGTGATCTGAGAATTGGGGAAGGGATACGATAGAAGGTTTGAAGAGACCCTAAGAGATGTGAGAATAGATGAGAAGATTTGAAATAACTCATGTGCGGGATTATGGGAGTGTTTTAACTAGGACCCCATAAAATTACCAGGCAACAGTAAGCTCAGATGAGGGAAGTATTTTGGGGTACCAGTGTGTATGGATACCAGATGTTGGATTTTTTTCCAGGTCTGCTCAGCAGTGTGGTTAAGGAAACAGGGATTTTATTGGTCAGAGAGATGATAGTAGTTGATGGATGGGATCCAGGCTAAGTAGAAAGAAAAAAAAAGATTAATGAGATTTTATGGAAGTCAAGAGCTTAATGTTATTGGTGTAATTAAAAGAGTTCATAGTAGGTATAATAAGAGCTGGGCAAAGTTTGGGTCAGAAAGTGGGATATTTAAGATTTTTAGAGATGAAGCAATTCATGGGGTTGCTAAGAGGTGTGGCTGTGGAAGCAGGTAGCTGAAGTAAATGGACAGGAAAAGTCTTTGTAGTTGACATCAAGGACTGAGGGCTTGATCTCATCTTGTTTAGGGGGTGCCATTAGGGAGATGCCAAGACTAAGGTCCAGATAATAGGTGAGAGGAAATGGGGAAGTAGACCAGAGGGTGGTATAGCCAGTTAGAGAGTGGGTTCCTTAGGGAAACACTTGATTTTTACATAAAGGTACAGGACAGTGGTGACATTGGAAAGAATGTAGGCTAATAACACCTGAGAGATTTCAGGAAGAGGCCAAGAGAGAATAAGATTTCAGATACAGCAAGGAGACAGATGAGAACACTTGAAGAAGACATGGCATGTGTAGATGCCTTTTGTTGCTGTTAGAGGGAACGTGCAGAGATCTCATTTGAAAGGTTTGGGACAGAGGAAAGAAGAGAGGAGCTTACATTTTGGTTACTGTCTAAGGATCAGTTTCAGTAGATTCTGATTGTTGAGACCCTGAGAGTAATTGGCTTCTGCTTGGATTAAGTGTGCTTCTAAGAGTTTTTAATCTAGGTACCTTTATACTTGGAATTTTCTGGTGCATTGGTGGTGGTTAACATGACAGGTACTCACTGCTGTGTTAAGCCTAGTGAGGATTGGTGAAATTAGGATTAAGGTGCTACTGGGCAGAGATTGGTATAAGACACCCTCTGGAGATATCCAGAAATGTAGTGGGGGCTTGGAGACCTGTGGCAGGATTTTGCAGAAGTGAGAGCCTAAATAATATAGTTAATAAGATCATGTTTATATCCATAGGATGTTGGGGGCCAGTTAAGTTTGAGTTATGTTGCTCATGGGTCCAAAGCTGCAGAGTGGTCAAGAGAGGAAGAACATCTTTCCTATTTTTGGACTTTGTGCTATACCAACAGAGGAGTCCCTAGGCTGTGTTGCTTATACTCCAGAATATTGAAGCCATGCTTTTGTTTTTTACTTAAAACTAAGGCAAAACATGAATATAGATGTAGTGGGGCAGGTTGGGAGACAAATCTGAACAACACACTACTGAATTCAGAATTACTGAAGTGCTCTGGAACCAGGGGGCCTTCATTTGACCTTTCTGTGCTTGATGAAAAGAACTTGTCCTTCCATTACTAGATCACTCCAGTATGTTGGAAGAGTAAATGAGGGTGGCAGGAAATAGTCTTTTGACTTCTGGTGGTCACAGGCTCATATGACAACACTGAAGAAAGAAGGAAAAAGTTCATATTTGAGTGTTAACCATGTAATGCTAGGCACTGTCAGGCTTTATTTTAATCTTCATAGGAGCTCTCCCAGGTAATAGGCATCATTTTATTCATTTTGTAGGTGACAAAACTATCAGAAAAGTAACTTAACCAAAACCCTTAACCAAGTGACCCTAGGATTAGAGTTCAGATTTTTTTGTCTTAAGTGTGAACCTTTTCATCTTGATAGGGGAGAGGGTTATAGCTTGCTGGGATTAGTGTGGGAAGTCTTGTTGGTGTCAGTAGAAATAAGCAAAAACTAAGGCAGTTTTACAAATTGAGTAGGGTCTCTCAAAGGGAATGATCCTGAGGTAGGTGGAATGCAATATCTAGGTAGCAGGCACAGCAGAGAGGCCGTTGGTTGGCTAATTAAAGCTCAGTATTAGCTGGTTGTGGTGGTGCACGCCTGCAATCCTAGCCCCGGGAAGCTAGGACAGGAGGATCACACGTTTGAGGCCATTCTGGGCTACACAGTGAGACCCTACCTTAAAAAAAAATTTTTTTTTAAATCTCTCCTAGCCACTTAAGAAAGGTGTGTGGGGGAGCAGTGAGTGGGTGGGGGGTGAAAGTTAGTAAGAAGACAGTCCAAGAACCAAACTTCCCAGCATTTTTCCCTGTAGACAAGTTCAGCTTGCTAGCTTTGTCATCAAATTCTGGGCACAGACAAAGACTTGATTTAGTGAGGTAAGTTGGCCATGCAGAGAATCTTTGGTTATATCCTTTCCTCTTTCCTCTGATGAAAGGACATGTGGCTACATAGAAAGAATACCCAACCAGGAGCAAGGAGACCTGAGTTCTGTTCAGCTTGTTTGGGGAGTAGTAGTGGTGATTCGGAGATGTGGTAGGTATAGTGACTCATTTATTCATGAAGGAAAGTATGGATAGTTCTCTCAGGGAAGCCTGAGAAGCATACTTAGGGAAAGAGTGGGAGTCAGGGCCAAAGAGCCTTCCTATTTGCAGTTTTCAGCAAGGTTCTGGAGCTGCTTTCTGATTGTTGGTTGCCAGGGCCCTGGGGTGTGGGGTCTTTGTTTTTGTAGCATAGATAAACAGGGTAGGAAGGAATGCACCTTTTCCTTTTGTTCTTCCTTTTTGCAGAACTTTGAAATAAACAAGGGGTTCAGCTTAGCAAGTCGGAAGTCTTGGATATTTAACTCTTCTAGGATCTCAGGCTCCTTCCGGAACCTTGTAGGCTTTATTTTCACATTGGTCTTAGGTGCCTCATAGACAGAGAAAACCTTGTTCTTCAGCTTGTTTTGAATCCAGGGATCAGTGGATGCCCAAACGATTAGTGTTTCTTGTATCTGCATTGAAACAAAAACCCTAGGGCTGGCTCACTTTGGGCTTAGGCTGGGAGGTGGGCGGGGGAGGGGATCCTACGGAGGGAAATCTCTAGCCACAAGCCACTGTGGCCCCTAGGAACCAGGTCAAGGAATAGTGTCTGAGGACTTACTCCTCTTTACTGTCAAGGAACAAATGGTGAAATGAGTGGAGGAGATTTGGAGGAGGGGTAGAGGAGAGGAGTAAGTGATGGGAAGGCCTTACACTCTTCTTCACAGCCTGGTTCTCCTCCACGTCTAGCATGTCCAGGAGCAAGTAGAACACATGTGGGCTACGGATTCCCAGGCCGCCCTGGAAGCGGCAGAGTGAGCCTGCCTAAGTAGCCAGTCCTGGGAAGATACCCCATCCTCTTTCCCATCCTTGTCCCTTTGTAATGACCCTGTGGCCTAGAGGGGATACAGTTTCCCAGCTGCGATACCTCTTTCCTTGCCATTTGGAGTTTTAGTTCCCATTATTTATCAGAAAGTCAAGATATTTTCTGCAACATCTAATTGCATCCTTCATACCCATCTCCTATCCCTTATTCCACCCACCCTGAACCCAAAGAAAAGGTTACATTGAACTCTTGATTGGGCTAGAATTCTATAATAAACATCCTTCCCAAACTTTGCAGCTGTTTCTTCCCCTTAGTGACTGCTCAATTGCCTACTCCCCCTGCCATCATCATATCTCAGGAACTGGCACCACAGAGAAACAGAGCCCATCTTAGTTACCAAAGAGATGACTGCTTCCTCACGTACAACAGCATCTGGGTCCATCAGCTGCCTGTGTAGAAGGGCATATGTTGTCCAATTAAAAAGTGGAGTGGGAGGGAGATTGGTTGCTTTTGAACCCCAAAGTGAGTTGGGCATAATGCTCATGAGTGATGCAAATTTCATGTCTCTTTTCTCAGAGGCTGGGATGGGGAAACAGGTACTATAGTTTGTTATTGCACTAAGTGATCAGGACACACATCTGTCCAGAGCTTGCTTTTTAAAATTTCCTGTCAGGTTATATTAATTTGAACTTGATAGAAACCCTGAGTGGTATTATTAGTCCCTCTACAAATGAACAAACCCAGGAGTCAAAAAGTGACTTGGCCAGCAGCACAGGCAAGGTTCTCAGCCAACCTCTTTGCTCTCTCTTCCCACCAACTAGGATTTGCTCCTGGCACCTCCCAGCCCAGGACACTCACGCCTCCACCAAGTTCATCATCATAGGCTTCATCTTGAGGTCTTTCACTGTTTTGGCTACAGCCTGCCTCATAGCCTGCAGAAGGACCAAGTGGGACAGCAGAGAGAGGAAATGCAGGGGTGTACACGAAAGTGCTTTGCAAATCTCTATTGAACACTTACTTTTGCTACATAAGGTCTCTGCCTTGGAGAGTTCATACTCAGGTGGAAGCAGCAGATGAGTAAATAGTCAGTTTTATATAGCACAGTATTGTGTAGGGCGCACATAGGAAGGTTTCCTGGTTGAGACTTGGGTACTGGGAAAATTTCTGGAGGAGGAGGTTGGTACCTCAGCTGAGTGGATGTTAATGAGGCAGAGGGTTGGGGGACCAGATTATTTTAGACAAAGGGGGAGCATAAACAAAAGCCTGGAGGGAGGAGAAAGCTCAGAAAATTGAGCTGAAAACAGTATGTAGAGATAACCAAATTGGGGCTCTTCAGCAGACTGAGTAATTATACTGGGACACCAGGGACAAATCAGGACACAGTCAACCTAAGCATAGCTGGTATATGACTGAGGGAGAGATCAATATAGAGAGGTAAAACTGGGTGCCAATGGCTTGTGCCTGTAAGCCTAGCTACTCAGGAGGCAGAGATCAGGAGGATTGGGGTTTGAAGCCAGCCCTGGGCAATTAGTTCACAAGACCCTATCATGAAAAAACCCATTACAAAAAAGGGAGTGGCTCAAGTGATAAAAGCGCCTATCTAGCAAGTGTGAAGATCTGAGTTCAAATTTCAGTGCTGCTCCCCCCCACCCCAAAAAAAAAGAGATAGAGAGGTAAGAAGGACTCAAGTTTTGAAGCAAATCAAGCTATCCTGAGGGCACTGGGAGCCACTGAAAAGTTTGATGCAGAGGTGAGATACAATCTACATTTTGTAAATGTGTCTGTAGAAGTACTGTGGTTGTTTCTGTAACAAACCATAGTGAAGATAAAAGGAAGGGAACACAGAGGAAGGCATGCTTGAATTTGGTGACTCAGTCTTCCCATAGGAGATACCATTTGGACTGATCTTGAAGAAGCAATAACATTTTAATAGGCAGAAAAGAGAAGGAGTGAATAATATGAAATAGTTTTTTACTTTACAGAAGGAGGGATGACTTGGGGCATTATGTACTGAGAGCAGCCCAGGCAAAGATAAGGTGGCTTGAAAACATGGGGTGCAATAAGAGGATGGGGTGTAGGTTAAGATGAGTATAATACCAGGGGTGTAGGGGGGTCGTTGGGAGCCAACATCTCAAGAGAAGAGAGAGGAGATAGGTTTGGACTGCCTGGATTGGGAACTGTGTTCTCACAACGAAGGGTTCGTTGTATGTCTTCCTCTTGAGCAAGTCAAATGTGATTTCCTCTAGCCCCTGTGCCTGGATCCGTTCCAGCCCAATGGTACTGAGCATCTGGGTGGCTTCAAAGCGGTCCTGAGGGCAGGGGTGAGGGAGGTATGAAAGATAGTCTCCCCTTCTCATCTACCAACCCTGTCCTGGTGCTGAGGAAGGCAGCCCGGAGCTCACCTCAAGGACACCAGAAGAACATAGCTGCTCCAGAATGGCCTTGGTGACTACAGCTGAGTGCACATGCATTATCTTGACCAGCATCCTAAGGGCCTGTGAAGGGTGAAGTGGGGCAGGGTGCACAGGAGAAGGTATACCAGAGGCGTCTGGATGGCCAGGCAGATTTGATGACTGGGCCTTGAACTTGTGGGGAACAGGTGGGGTCCTTTCTGCCTCTTGGCCTCTTGAGTGAAAACACAAGTTGACTGTGCACACATAACTGAAGTTATGTGCACACTTATTTATAGTGTCCACATAATCCCATATTCACGCATATGCATATTCATGAACACACGAAGGACCCTGCTGTCTCCCAGCTGAAGCTTTTTTTCTTTGGGACAAGGATAGTAGGATCCAAACTCTACCCAAAGTCAGTATGGGCCTTTGTTTCCCAGATGCTTCTCAGGGAGCCCAGCTTCACGCACCTTCATCTGCTGGGATTTGGGCCCTTGGTATAGGCACTGCAGCAAAAACTCTTGGGCTATGTTGCTGCAGGGCCTCAGGAAACCCAAGCACAGGGCTGCTTCCATGGCTGCTTTGTTTGATGACTTCTTTATCAACATCTGCAGCACAGCTACCAGCTCTTCTTCATCTCCGACTTGAATCCTCTGAGAGGGAGACAGAGGTGAAGTGGGCAGTGGGAGGCACTAGTCCTCAGCCAAGCTTCGTGCTTTCTTTCTATACCCATCTACATTTTTTTTCTGTTGTTGTTGTTTTGTTTTGTTTTTGTTTTTTTGAGATAGGGTCTCACTATGTAGCCCAGGATGGCCTGAAACTCACTATGTAGTCCAAGCTAGCTTTCATCTAATGATCTCCTGTCTCAGCCTCCCGAGTGTTAGGATTCCAGTCATGCACCACCATACCTTCTCCCCTGTGCATTTTTGAAATGTAAGTTAGGTCATGTTACTGCTGTGCTCAGAACCTCTAATGGCTCCCTATTCCATTCAGAAAAAAGCCCAAGTTCTTAACCCAAAAGGCCACATACAACCTCGTCTCCTGTTAACTCTTTGACTTGACCTTCATTTCCTCTTTCTCTGTCTATTCCTATACCACTTCAGCCATGTTGGTCTTCTTGTGATCTTTGACCATGCATTGACTGGTCCCTCTGTCCAGTATGCCTTCTCTCAAGTATCTGTGAGGCCAACCTCATCTGTTCTACATCATTGTTCAAATGCACCCCCTAAATGAGACCTTCCCTATCTATCATGTAAATTGCAACCCATCCCATCCCCACTTGGCACTCCTGAAAGCCCTTTTCCTGCTATATAGTTTTTCCATTACCCTCATCACTTCTGACATACTTTGTAATTTTCTAGTTAAATTTTGTGGTTGTCATATGTCTCCCCTCACTAGAATGTAAGCTCCACAAGGACAAGGATCTTTGCCTCTTTGGTTCATTGATGAATCCCAATGCCTATGGCAGTGCCTAGCATATGATAGCTGTTTAATATGTAATTGCTCAATAAATGAATGAGTGATGGATTCTGTTCTATGTGGAGCAATGATGGAATCAAAGGAAGAGATCCTAAAAGGGGAAATAAAAACCCTGAGAGTAGTGTCACAGGACTCTCTTGGTTCCTATCCCCTCTTGATAGAAGTTTTGCTTCAATAGGTTATTTTAAAATGTTACATTTTTTTTGGTGGGACTGGGGTTTTAACTTCATGCTTCAGGTACCGTTTGAGCCATACTAGTCTAGAAATAAACACTTTTACTCTTTGTGTGGCCTTCAGTTTTCTTTATACAAATACAAATATAAACTCTTCTTTTTTTTTTTTTTTTTAGTGGTACTGGGGTTTGAACACAGGGCCTTATGCTTGCTAGACAGCCTCTCCACCAGCCCTTTAGAAACTATAACAGTAATGATAATTATCATTTAAGGAGCAAAGGCATTACATACACCATCTTCATCTCTTCTACCATGGTGCAAGGCAATTTTAAAGATGCATAAGCTATGGATCAGAAAGCTGGCTTTTTAGAGGCTGCCTGAGTAGTGTGTGGTATGTTCTTCTATTCAATCTACAGGGAATTCAACAAAGAGTCTTCTATTAAAGCTGAGAGCTATGGTACCTTCTTCCTGACCCACCAGTTACCTGGGTTTGACCAGTCAAACCCACCAGTTGCCTTGAGCTGCTTTGTCCCAATCTCTCCAATCACCTTGTCTTTAGGGATAGCAGCCCAGAAGTTTAGAGCCACTCGTAGTCCCATTAGAGTGTCCATCCTTTGGCCCTCATTTTGACACTTCACCTGTTTGATGAGAGCCTGGATCACATGCTTATTCAGGCAACCTGGACAGGGAGATTCCTTAGGTCAGGGAAAAGACTCGAGGACTGCTTCTCTCTACAAAGACCCATTAAGCTCCACTTGAGACAGAACTTCTCCAAAGTACTAGGTTCCAAGGTGTTGCTCATTTTCTCAGGACACCAGAGCACCTGGATAAGTCTGAACACAATTTCCCTCTCTTTTCTCCCTTTTTACCCCACCTTCTGCTCTCTGCACAACAGTACCTAGGATAGCTCCCAAACCTTGCCAAATGCTAGGTTTACATCTGTATATACCCTGTTCCCTTCTGCCTTTACCCAAAGGAGAAAGTGGTTACACTTTTGTACCTCCCAGTTCCCCACCTGGGGCAAAAACATACTCACCCAGGATGGCCAGGGCTCGATAGGCCTCACACTTTACTTTCTCTGGACCCGTTTGGGCCTGATTGAAGAGGCAGGTGGTAGGAACAAACCATAATGTGATAGAATGTCAGAGCTTTAGAGATTGTCTCAGCTTATCTTTTCTTCTTATAAAAGAGGAAATTGAGGTTCATTTAGTGACTTGTGCAGGATGGTGTAATGGAAGGAACACTGAACCAGGAGTTAGACTTGTTCAAATCTAACTGGTATACAGTAGCCACTTGGCCTTAGGCAAGTGCTTGGATTCTCAGAGCTTCTATTTTCTATAGAAAATAACATTTTAGTGTTGGTGTAAGATTTAAGTGAGATTATGGATAAGAATGCAGACTGAACTTTAAATCAACCTGAGCGTGGAGCATTGTAAAGAGAGAACTAGAAGTTCCAGTTCTTCTGTGGGTTTTCAGTCCAGCATCTTTTCTGCTAGACTTAGGTGATCTACAGACTCCCCCTTTCCTCAAGCTGCTCTTTAAAAATGCCAAGGGCATAGGATGGGGACATGCCACACACCAGTGGCTCTTTCCTCACAGGTCCTGACCTATCATTCTGACACCCTGGGGAAGCTTTGTTTTATGCCCATGTGCCCACCCTCTACCCACCTCAGACTCTGTTTCCTCCTTTTCTGAACTCCTTAACAGTCCCTAGACTTACCACCTGCCATAGCATGTCCATGATACACTTGTCATTGATACCAAGGTACCCCAGAGCCTGCAGGAAGAGGGGTAGAGGGAAGGGAAAGACCTTGGACACTATCACCAGAATTACTGTCCTCTGGACCCAGACAGAATTTATGCTTGGGACACCACACCTGTGCCCACCATCCACCTCTAGTTGCTTTTACATTTCAGCTTAATCTCCCAGCTGCAACTACCCTCCTTCTCTCTTGCCACTTCTCACTTGTGCTGCATACAACTGCTCATCTTCTCTTGGAGATTTCAGGTTTTTTGTGAGTTCCTGCTCATCCAAGACAGTCAATGGAAAGGAAGAAAGAGAAAAGTACAGAGCTCCAAACAGAAAGGAACTCAGCCTATCTAAACCCCTTTCCCCTCTCCCTCCATCTTGCAGGCAAGGGACTGCATACTGAAGGATGCTGCAAGCCAAGGCAAAGGTACCCATAGGAAGGTGTTTCCTTACTTTCCTCCCCACCATGGTCCTGACCTTTAATCTTTGCCACTTCAGGGAGTCCCTGGTAGGATCTAAAGGTCCGGATCTTGCCTGAGGTTTTAAGATCAATTTGCTCATGGGGAGATTGAAGTTTTGGATTTGGCAACCCACTTGGAAGTACCTGTATGAGAAATTGCACAGGTAGCCTTAATTCCTTCACTCCTCTGGTCACAACCCCACAAAGTCTCAGCCCAGCTCAGAGATGGGATCAGAGAAAGGCAAATGAGAGCTCAGTGATACTCACCAAACTGAGCTTCCTTCTACCCCAGGTCCTCTCTCAGACCTGTAGGCCGAACCCTCTCCCCCAGCCTACCCCTTCCTCATTCTTCCTTTTCTAGAAGATTTGGAAGGTGTGGAGAATAGGGATGTGAGCAAAGCAAACCTAGTGTGATCTCTCATTTTCTGTAACATCTCTCGTTCCTTTCGCTGATCATCCAGGGTACGCCAGTGCGTGAAGCGCTCAGGCCCTTTGGAGTAGCAGGAAGGGACCGAGTTTGGCTTGCTTGGGTGCTGCCTCCAGCACTCTGGACTTGGGGGATACTCTTCCTTTGGCATCTGGGAGTGCAAGTGTCAGAGCAGTCAGAGGGGGTCACTTCAGCCTCTCATTTTGGCTCTGGTCAGCTACACCTAACCCACTGAGTGAGACCCGGTTAAATTACTTCAGCCTACCAAGGTCTCACTCAGTCTTCTCATCTGTAAATTGGAGTTAGTAATCCTTGTTCTGTTCTCCTCCCAAGGTTGTTGTAAAGATCAAGAGGAGTCCAGATTTTGCAATCTGCAAATCCATCTGAGTCTACAGTTTGGTTAGTTGAGGATTTTAAAATACTTGGAAAAGCTCATGTGGTCAGGGAGATGAAAAGGCCAGGGTTGGAGGACGTGTGGAGTAAAGGTGGGAGAAAGACTGCTGTTCATCTGGGCATTTAGTGAGCATCTACTATATACTAAGGATGTAGTTACCTTTCTTGCCTTCATGAACTTCACATGAAGTTGGGAAAACAAACTTTCTTAAAATAATCTGCCTCTTAACTATGCAACTATTATTATTATTATTTTTTCAGTGCTAGGATCAAACCTAGTGCTTTGTGCACACCAAGCAAGCACTCTACTTCTGAGATCCATCCCTAGCCCTTAGCTGTGGATCACAGCTTTGGCTGCAGAGATGGGGTTTGGGGGGTGTCAGAGACTTTCTCTGAGGATTTGGCTGGGGCCCAGTCCGGCCTCTTCTCAAATCTTTATAACACATCTCTCTGGGCAACAGGGAAAAGGAGGCTTCAACTGGTTTCCAGCTTTTAACTGAAAAGATCAAAAGGGTTTTCAAGTTACTGTGATTTCAGAAAATGGGGCCAATGGCTCATAGTAAGTAGGGTTTCCAGATTTAGCAAAGAACAAGCACCCGCTCCAAAGAAAACAAAACAAAACAAACAAAAGCAAAATAGGATATCAAGCTATATTTGGGTTTTAGGTGATGAATGAAATATTCAGGACAAGTTTTATACTAAAAATATCATTCATTATTTATGTGAAATTTAAATTTAATTGGGCATTCTGTATTTTATGTGGTAACCCTAATGGAGGATCCCTGTGTTAATAACAATGACTCCGATTAGTAAGCACACTTTGCATAGCCAGGCCTTATAGACTTTGTCTCATAGCAGCTGTATGCAGGGGGTGGGGCAGTCTTGCTCTGTGATAGAGGAAGTTCCTGAGGCTCAGAGAGGGAAAGTGACCTGTCTAAAGTCACTGAGCATTGATGGTAGCCCCAGAGATGAATGTTGGGGTTCTGTGAGTTGGTCTGAATGGGAAGGGACAGTATGCCACTCCTCCTACTTTGGTACAATTCCAAGGGTAGGGAAAGTTACAGGTCTTACCTGGTAGCAGGACAAGGGCAGGTGAACAGGAGCTGTGGCTTTTCTGAGTTCTGGCAAGAAAGGTAACAGTATTTGTATGACGCAAATAAGACAGCTGCTGCAAAGGCAGGTTAACGAATCGTTCAGGTATTCATTTATTCAGCATTTAGTGAATATGAACACCAGGGAGGTAAGTAATTACTGCCTTCAAATATAGTCTATGGAACAGCACAGTGTCAACTGCCTGGGAGCTTCTCAAAAATGCTGAATCTCAGGCCCCAGCCCTCAGAGTCAGGATCTCCAGTTTAGCAGGATCTCCAGGTAAGTCCTATATAGTTGAAGTTTGAAAAACACAGGACCAGCAGAGTGTTCTCAACCTTTGCTAGATATTAGAATTATTTGCTTGGGATTGGGGGGTGGACATGCCTAGGACCTACATCAGATGAATCAAATCATTCTGTAGGGGTAGGGCCTAGGCATTTTAGAAAGTGCTTCTGAAGAATCAAATATTCAGCCAGAGGTGAAAACCATTGGTCTTTTCCAGTTTCTCCAACTCAAGTGTGCATTAGATTTACCTGGATAACTTGTTAAACTATAGATTTCTGGGAATCATCTCCTTAATATCTGATTGACTATATGTTGGGCTCTGTTCATTTATATTTCTAATAAGACGTTGAGGTGGTTGCTTGCTGCTTCTGGGACCACATTTTGAGAACCACTGGTCTGGCTGCTGGGACAGAAATGGTTAGCTGTGCAATACCACTCTTGGGGATATACCCAAGAGGTTACTCCAGAGGCACCTGCACACCCATGTTTATTGCAGCACTATTCACAATAGCCAAGTTATGGAAACAGCAAAGATACCCCACTCCTGACGAATGGATCAAGAAAATGTGGTATTTATACACAATGGAATTTTATGCAGCCATGAAGAAGAATGAAATGTTATCATTCACTGGTAAATGGATGGAATTGGAGAACATCATTCTGAGTGAGGTTAGCTTGGCCCAAAAGACCAAAAATCGTATGTTCTCCCTTATATGCGGACATTAGATCAAGGGCAAACACAACAATGGGATTGGACTTTGAGCACATGATAAAAGCGAGAACACACAAGGGAGGTATGAAGATAGGTAAGACACCTGAAAAACTAGATAGCATTTGTTGCCCTCAATGCAGAGAAACTAAAGCAGATACTTTAAAGCAACTGAGGCCAATAGGAGAAGGGGACCAGGAACTTAGAAGGTAACACACATGCACAGGAAAGTCAACTCCCTGTGTAGGTATCCTTATCTCAACCAGCAAAAACCCTTGTTCCTTCCTATTATGGCTTATACGCTCTCTTCAACAAAACTAGAGATAAGGCAAAATAGTTTCTGCCGGGTATCGAGGGGGTGGGGGGAAGAGAGAGGGGACGGGGGGAGTAAGGAGGGGATGGGGGAGGGGGGAGAAATGACCCAAACATTGTATGCACATATGAATAAAAAAAAAAAAAGAAATGTTTAGCTGTGGAGGAAGATACAAGTGGTGCTCCTGAGAGCCACTTAATCTGGCTGGAGGATCAGGGAAGGTTTCCCAGAGGAGATTGTACAAAAGGTGAGCCTTCAGCAGGACCAGGAGCTAGCCAGATAGATAAGAAAGCACTTAGTACAGGAAACACTTTATGAAAAGACCTGGAGGTGAAAGAACTGGGGTGGAAAGCAGCATGTAGGTTTGGAGAAACTGGGGAGACACACAGGTGTCCCAACTTGAGAAGACCCTATAAACTCTGCTGAGGAGCTGGAGACTTGTCTTGAAGGCTATGGAGAGCCATCAACATGTCCATGGGCCTTCCCTGCCCTGAGTGACTTGTTGAACTCACTCAGTGCCTTGTCTGGGACTGGGAGCCAGGTAGCCTTGCTTTTTTCAGGCTCCTGGCTCCTGGCTCCTGCTCCTGGCTCCATTCCTGTCCATTCTATCCTCACCTTTGGTCCTGTCTTGATATTCCAGCCATGGATACATGTACATGGACCTGGAGATTTCAAAGATATCCACTGATCTTTCAAAGCCCATTTTCTTCTCCTGGTGGGGGCCAGAGGAAACCTGTATAGCTGGGATTTCAGGGCTGTGGGGGGAGTGGGGGTACAACTGGAAGAGACTATCCTCTGGCACAAGAGAGACCAATGAAATTGGTAGAAGCTTCCAGGTGCTGAGCAACCAGATTACCTTGGTAAACAGAACACCCAAGTTCCATTCTTGAGCCCCACCCCTGGCATCTGCTGACTTGACGACTAAGTCGGGCTCTTTAACTCTCTGAGATTCAATTTCCTCACCTGAGAAGTAGGGAAGTTGTGCTTGGCATGCTGTGGCAAGGCATAAACTCAAAAGAAAGTCAAAGTATTTGGTGAACTGACAAACTGAAGCCCATGTTAGGGGTTGCTTGTCTTTAGGATGAGTCATCAGGACAATGGCAGGGATGGGAAAACCCCTTTTATATACACCCTCCTTGGTGGCAAGAGACTATGTGGTAAGGAGCTGTTTCTCATACCTTCTCCTTTTGCATATGCCTTTCCTTCTACCTGTCAATCCTTTCTTCCTTTCCTACTTTTTAACTTGTTACTCAAGTCTTTCAAATTCTACATCAGTGTTATCTTTGAAGTCTCTCTCCTCCCTCAAGCTCCCTGTCCCACACCACTGGCCGATATAATCTCTCTTGCCTGGCAGCAGTGTGACTACAGCCTGTCATATAATTGCTTCCTCCCCTTAGGTGTTTATCATATGTTTACTCTGTTCATAGGACCATCATCCTTACTGGACTGTGAGCTGCCTAAACATAAAGAGTGTGGCTTGTGGTTTATTTACCTCCCTGTTCTAGTCTCTCCACCCCACCCTTATCATCTACCATACTGCCTGGCACACAGAAGGCAACTCACAGTAGCAAGAATATCTGGACCACTAAGTCATCAGACTTAACATCACCAGCAGACAGACATGTGTTTTTTGTTTGTTTTTGTTTTTGTGGACTTGTTTGAGATAGGGTCTTACTAATGTAATCCAGGCTGGTCTCAAACTCTCCATCCTCCTGCATCCACCTGCAGAGTTCTGGGATTATAGATACGTACCACTCCGTGATGCCCTGAGAAAGTATCACCCCAATGGCATTCCTACTGAAAGAATTTAACCTGAATCTAGTTATGAGGAATGAATTAGGTAAATTCAAATTAAGAAACATTCTACCCAAACCTGAATTTCTAAAACATATCAATGTCCTTAAGGACAAAAAAAAAAAAGCATGTTAGCTAGTTGTGGTGGTGCGTGCCTATAATCCCAGACTGGCGAGACTGAGCAGAAAGATCACAAGTTTGAGGTCAGCTTGGATTATATAGTGAGACCCTGTCTCAGGAAACGAGACAAAAACAACAACAAAAAATATGTTAAGGGACAGTAAAAAGATATGCTAGCTAAATTCAATGTGTGTATTTAATTGAATCCTGAATTAAAAAGAGAACATTATTTGGACAATTGGGAGGGTTTGATGGTTTATTGAATATTGGAAAATAATATGTTATTGAAGTTTCCTGAATGTGTTACTCATTTTGTGGTTATGTACAATGTCCTTGTTATTAGGAGACACACTGAAACTCTTAGGGAAAAGTGCTATCACACCTGCAACTTCAAATGGTTCGGAAAAAAAATGTGTAACATACGCATACACAGGTAAAGCAAATGAGGTAAAATGCTACTATTTGAATCCAGATGAAGAGTAGCATATGGGTGCATTTTTTGCAAATTTTTATAAGCTTGAAAATTTATAAATTAAAGGTAGAAAAAAACATAGGCTTTGGCAATAAAACTAGGGTGTTTAGGACTGGGGTCATGGCTGGTGTGGTGGAATGCTTGACTAGTAAGTGCAAGGCCTTGAGTTCAGTTCTCAGCACCACAAAACAAAGACAAAAACCCCCTTTCCTTTGTTTTGGGTGAAGGGAGGCTGTGGGACTTTGGGCAAATCATTTCTCTTTTGCTAAGGGTTTCCTGACTGTAAATAGTCCTAATAATAGTGCCTGCCCTATAGGGTTGTAAGGATGAAGGAGGGTGATGGATGTAAGAGGGCTGAGCCAATGCTTGGCACAGGGTGAGTGCTCAATGAATGTTACCTACAGTATCTGTTGTTAATAATACCCGTTCACATGAAGGGACACAGATAGGAAAGTTGGAATACCCCCACCTTAAAGTTTCCATTACTGTTGTGAAAACCACAGAATGACTCATTCTCCTTATCTGAAAGAACTAGGGCCTTTGGGATTGCCATTAAATCCTGTTCTGGGGGCAAGAGTGGTAAAGAAATTGACTGAGATAGGTGTAGGATAGGCTAAGGTGGAAGGGCCAGCCAAAGTCTGAGGAAGCAGGGAGGTGCTGTGGCAGAAGACAGATACACACTTGGGGACTTGAGGGTGGAGACATAGTGACTGTTGTCCCCACCCCAGTGGATAAGTCACTAGTTACTTTACCTGCTCTGCTTGTCCATGTCTGCTTCTCAGAGAGCTTTTACTTCCTGGGCAAGGCTGCAGCCCCCAAATCCAGTGAGGACACCAATCTAGTAGTTTTTTCAGGTTTTTGGTAGGGGAAACTTCTGTGTGGTAGAATACAAGCCCTTCCAGGGATAAGTGGGGATTGGGGATTGGGAAGAAGCTTCAAGATGGTTAGGAAAAGAGCAAGCAGCCTGGACCCTCACATGTGTAATGCTTGTGGGGAAGGAGGATTCCCAAGGAGGAAATCAAACCAGGAGCCAGCTTTGTCACTGTACAGAGAATTTTAATAAAAAGCTGATTATGATTGCCAGTCAGCCTTTGTGAGGGCCTGAGATGGAAGCCTAGCCTTCCTTTTTTGCCTCAAGAGGCACACTGACTTCCTTCCTGGTCACAGAGCCATGACCAATCTGAGGAACTTGAAGCTCAGCGCCTAGAGACTGCCTGGTGCCAGGCAGGGCCTGGGCCTCAGTAGTTCTTCCAGGCTTTGGATATGGAGGCTGTTGTAATTGCTGCAGTGTGGTAGAATCTGTGCTCTCCCATGGATAGGTGGGAATAGGGGTTGAGGAGAAACTTCCTAAGCTGGTTAGGACAAGTGCAGGTAGCAGCAGATGAGTTTATATAGGCCAGGTTCAATGCACCTTCTATCCTAACTCATCTCCAAAGAGTTGATGTATTCACGAACCCATTTCTTCTCTGGATTGGCACACACCTGGCGGTTCTTTCGAGTGACAAAGCTGTGGGAGAGGAGAAGGTGAGACCTTGTTAGCACTGGGACAGCCAATTTTGGGTACGAGGTAGATTGAGGCATAAAAGGAAATGGTGATAGTAGTGGGGAAGGGCAGTTTTGGAGCTCCATTGGGTTTTATTTCTTTTTGGAGAAGACATTTCCCCTTCTGTTGAGTCTAAGGGCTCCCGGCCAGTAGCAAAGTTGTGTGCATTTTAAGCCAACACCAACACCTGCAGCCTGGAATGCTAAGAAGATGTGGAACTTCTGGTGCCTAGGGTTGAACTGTCTAACTACTAGCCTTTTCTTGGCACTTCTGCTCCAGGCTATGTGCTGAGTGCTCAAGATGCAGAGAGAGAAAGATGTCCCCCAGAAATTGTCATAGGCAACTAAGTGGGAGATAAGAAGTGCTCAAATTAGGCACATATGGTTTGGCTTTAGGTGACACAATGTCTAGCACAGAGCAGACACTCAGCAAATGAACACATGAGACTATCTATGCGTAGGTGGGCAAAAGAAAGAAGGACATGTACTTGAGTCTTAGTTTCACCACTTGTTTGTTGGATCATCGTGGACGAATCACTTAGGGCTTCTGAGACTAGTTGCTAACTTCTAAAATGTGGGCAGAAAAAAATTCCCACTTTTAACAACTATTATGAAGCTCAAATGAAATGATATGTGGGAAAGAACTTTGAAAAATACTGTACATGTCTTGTCATTGTTAGAATGCTGTGAGACCTCTGCTTTAGGGTAGATAGCTTAGAGCAACATGAAACCAAAGGTCCTGGTAGTAGACCATGGCTAAGAAAGGTGAGGACCCTGAGATACTGGCAGTGCCATAGCACTTCCCCAATTTACCAGCCACCATTGGGAGGCCTGTAAGAGTTCAAGGCTCTATCTGTGCAGACACTGGTGGTATAAACTAGAAATATAAACAGTGGGAGTCATGAGAATTGGTCCAGCTGACTTCTTGCCTGCCTGCTTCGAGATTGGTTTTATCTGGGGAAGACGTGAGTCTGGAGAGTAGTGCTGACAATTAACACATTACAGTGGGGTCAGCCTCACTTACTTAGCCCTTTCCCATTTTGTCTTCTCCTTTAGGATGTGTTTCTACATATTATTATTATTATTTTAAATTGATTAATTTTACTTAAGTTAGAACATTAGAGTACGAAGTTCTCATAGGAAGAGAATTAACTATTGTGCAGCTGTCTAAAAGTTTATTTTTAGGTTATTATTTTTTTTTGGTAGCACTGGGATTTGAACTCAGGGCCTCATGCTTGCTAGGGAGGCGCTCTCAGAAGTTTATTTTTAAAATCTTATTGAACCTCATAGTATGCTGCATTATTATATGGCCTAACAAAGGAATTATATGTCCCACCCAACATGGGAAATTTGTAATTCAGCCTTCTTTTTTGCAATTACTATCATATTTTGGAATATAAAAATGTGTTCCTTAGATTGAATCAAAATGCAATGTATTGAAGTATTGTACCTACCACACTTAAATATCTCATTCATTCTTAGATGTGGGATTTTCATTCTTTCCTTATGCATGTATCAGTATGTATGTCAAAGTTGCTAAGCTAGTTTCTGATTCCATGCCTAATAGCATTCAAACAAATTTTTGAAAATGGTGGTAAAATACATATAACATAAAATTGACCATCTTAATCATTTTTAAGCTTACCCTGCATGTTCTTGAGTACAAATATTTTCAAAGTGAAGGCTTAGGTTGTCTGGTAAGAGTAAGGTTTCTTAGTTACTTTTTGGGTTCTATCATGGGCAATGTGTGCTCTTTGGGTTTCTGCTTCCCCTTTTCTGAGCCTCACTTGGAATCACTTGACCATCCCTCTTTCTCCAACCCTGGTACGCAGAGGTGAGAAAGGGAGCAGAAGAAGTTTTCTGGGCTCTCTTGCCTCCTAGAATTTGTTTTCTTCTTTGGGACCATGTGGGAGCTTCAGACATAAGCCCTGTCCTTGATCAACCAAGGAATCATACAGGATTGGCTAGTTTCTCTCCTTGGCACCCTTGGATTGAGGCCGAAGTCAAAAGGCCAGGACACCAACCCCTATGGTGAGGATTGCTCAGAACTCCAATTCCTCCTCCTTACAGCACGTGATACCAAAGAGCAGATCCTCCATGCTAAATCTTCCCTTCCTTTCTCCATTTTTGGTGCCTCTACTTGACTAGCTTCCCTCATTCCACCTTAAGAGCAGGTATTCTCAAAGCCACTGCCCTTTCAAGTTTTTTTTTTTTTTTTATGTGTTCTTTCTAGAGTCTCTGGCCCCAGGTCTGGCACACAGTTGGTGATTAGTGGATGTTTATTGAATGGGTAAATGAATGACTAAATGAATTGAGTCCATTCCTTAAGTTTCACTTATTGCTTCTTTGTATAATAATACATTTAGATGATGATGATAATAGTAAGTTAGCATTTATTTTATACCTACTGTGTGACAGGGAATGAGCTAGGTATTTATTATTCTCTCTGTGACCCACTGAGGGTCACCATTTTGGTTAAGGAAACTGAGGCTCAGAAAGTTAAAGGAGGGGCCCATGCTTATCAAGGTGGCATAGCTGGAGTTCTAACCGCAGGCTAGCTATGAAGCCAGTGCTCACTAAGATAATGTGACTTGTCCTCTTTTTTATCTGAAGGCCTCTTCCTTCTGCAGGAGATTGTCACACCTCTAATAACACAGCCTTTCCTTAGCTACCAGCCCTTTGTTTACACTCCTGCCCAACACTTCCACAGGGTTGTCTTGCTCGACTTCTTCCTCTTTAAACAGTGTGTCCAGGGCTGAGGATGTAGCTCAGTGGTAGAGCACTTGCCTAGCATGGGCAAGGCACCAAAAAAGAAAAAAAATTTTTTTTAAACAATCTGTCCTCCAGACTTAAGGTGTACCACACCTCTTCACCATCTGTGTTGAGACCCCAGTGTCATCCTTACCCCATTCCCTCTCTTGACCTCAAGTCCCTTGCCCTGAATAATTCTGGCTCCTCATTCTTGTCTCTCTTTTCCTCCAGGCACCATTAGCCTCCAACACTATGAATGTGGATAGTTACAACAACCTCTTACCTGGACTCCTATTGTCTTGGCTTTTCCTTGTTACACTCATTTTACACCTGGAAATGCTTTTGCTGCATTTCCCTGACTTACAGCCCTCTATGCTTTCTTACATGAGTCCCCACACAAACCAAGTAGAATCTTGGAGACATTCTCTCTGTCTAGTAAATCCCATCCTACAGGTGCTTCTCTACCACTTCAGTTCTCTCTGCAAACAGCATCTTTTGCAGCAACCTCCTCTAAATCCCCAGTCCTCATCCCTGAATCTGGGTACATTTTCTCCCTTCCTTTATCAGTGTTCTTTTGCAGGCTGCTCTAGTCATTGCTGTGCCTGTCTGATCCTCTTATTAGGTATGAGTCTCACAGAGGCAGGGAGGGAGGGTGGGTTCATTAATCTCTGTCTGCCCATAATAGATGCTTAGGGAAGAATTTTTTTCTTCTGGGAAATATTTGTTTTCATAAGTAAAATGAATAATTCTAAATATTACCACTATTCTTTTTTCTAACCACTATACTTTGAGGGATTCATCAGGACTCAAGTCCATCTCTGAATACCTATAACTTTGCCAGTATCATGAAAATTTCAGGGTTAAAAATTTTAACAATTTATAGGAAACTTTGTGATTGCCCCATTTTCATTCCTTAAGTCTCTTTTATCTTAAATTTCTTAAGTACCTGTAATTAAAGACCTTGCTACTTAATTGAAAGAAGAGGTTCCAGACACAGTCCATCCCTCACTTACTGTGTAGCGTTGGATATGTCCATGAATTTTAGTTTTCGTTACCTGAGACAAGGAGAGAATTGTGCATACCTGCCAGGGCTATTATGTGAAATTTAGGCCACACACATTTGTCACACAAATCTTCCCAGGTAGTAGGGATTATTATATTTTATATTTTCCCAAATGCATTAGCATACATATTTAAAGATGAATCTCATCTCATTATTTCTTCCTAAATAGATAGGTTTTTTTTGTTGTTTTCTTTTACAGTTGGGGTCCTGACCTCTGACACTTCCTAGCTCCTCTGGGTGTGGAATATGGGACACTCTGGAAAGGGATGATAGAGTCAATCTTCTCCATGCCGTACCAGCAAAGACTAATGTCCTAGGAACCTGGCCCATCAGAGCGGGCAGGATCCTCCAAGAACACCTTGCCTAGTCCTTTTATAATATAACCAGGGACTCAGGCTGGAGATAGGAAGGCACAGTTGTTTTAAGCTGGAGGATGGGTGAGTGTGGGTAGGATACCCTCTCAGAGGGTAGGCTTGCTCTGGGATCCAAAATTGTCCATTGCTTGTTCCCCCTGGAGAAATCCATGGGGCTGAGACTTACACAACTGCCAGGTTGGAGCACTTGCTGCTGGTGTAGAAATACTCCTTGATGTGGGTGCGGGGCAGTGGGCGAGAAATGTAGGCAAAGCAGCAGGGAGTTGTGTCTGAGGCATCTGGGAGAAAAAGGAAAGAAAGAAGGTAGGAGACTTCTTTATTCATTTCCAGTGTATGCTGGACATTGTGTGTGCATTTACCTGACTTAACCTGAAAACACTATTACCCACCTTGGCAGAGAAGGCTCAGAGAAGTAAAGTCACTTGGCCATGAATACACAGTGGCAGAGTGGGGATTCCAACAGAAGCATGAGAGGATCTCCCCAAATCCCCATCTATTCCTTGAGTCAAGCTTGTATCCTTCTGTCTATAACAGAACACATTGCCCTTGGCTGCCAGGATTTGCTGGGGCTCCTCCTGCTCTGTCCTGGACCCTCTGCCTTCATTCTTGCTCTTTCAGGATCTACAGTGGATTTGAAACTTGGGTTTCTTTGAGACATAGGGTATTTGTAGGGAGATTTCCAAAATTGAAGTCCCATGGCTTAGCCTAAAGATGCATATGGCATCTTGGGAGCCCCTGGCTGGGTTCCAAATAGAGAACTTCTTGTTGGTGTGTTAATTCAAGATGCTTCCAAATAAGTCATTGACTATTACTCCCCAGCAGAGCTCTGGTGTTTATTGTCCCAGCCAGATAGAGCTGCTTTGAATACCAGTTTCCACACTTCCTATCTTAACCTCCCTGGGCCTCTGTGTCCCCTCTATCAGTCAAGAGCAACTATTCAAAGAGTAGTTGTATTGAATGACATATGCAAAGCAGTCAGCACAGTGCCTGATCCATAGTAGACAATTAATTAGTTTTATTTTTATTGGGGTACTGGGGTTTGAACACAGGGCTTTGCCAATTAACTTTTGTTTCCTAAGCCCCAATTTTCCATCTAGGAAGTGAGAGAATATGCCTGTCTCAGGAGGGTTTTGTTAAGTGTTTAGAAAGTTTTTAGAAACCTTGCTGGTAACAGGCATGAGATAGTCATTTTTCAAGGTCAGCTTGAGCAACCCCTGCCTGCTAATATCCCCAATATCAGCCCACACTCAGTGATCACCAGCAGGGCTCAGTGGTGTAAGCCTTGGAGACACAGGAAAGTTGGTCAGGGGGTCCCTGCAGCTTAGAGACAATAGATCTCTAAGAACGTTTGGGTAAAACAATATATAAGAATGTAAATAATGGAGTTCAGACAGCATACATGCTATGGTTGAAAGAGGGCAAGATCTAGGACAGCAGGATGAGGTGGACATCCTAGGCAAGGATGGACCAACTCCATGGTCCCAGACTTACATGGGGTGGCAGATGCAGGCACACACAGGGCGGCAGCAGTGAGAATAACAGCAAGGACAGCTGCGGAGGTCTTCATGGTACCTGGAGCCACAAACTGTAGGAGAGGCACGTGCTGTCTCAGGATGCTCTGCAGGGATGCTCTGCAGCTCAGGCGGGCCCTTTATAGGAAGCCAGGCCAGTAGAGGAGCACCCCACAAGGGGACTTTCCAAAACAGCTGCTCAGTGTTTGCTGACATCATAAGTAAATCACACAAAACAGAAAAGGAAACTGAAATAACCTCCAGAAATGTGAGTCTCTTTCCATTTCCCACTGTCCTCCCATCCTGAGTTCATTAGTTCCCTATTTGTCCAAGCACCGTGGTGCTGGCATCCTCAGCTTCACCTTCCTGGGCAGTTCTTCCTCAGACAGCAGGAAGCTGCTGCCTTGCAAGCAAGGCGGAGGGGCAGTTAGGACAGGAGCAGAGGCACCAGTCTTCATTTGGCTCCTTTCCAAGTTTCTGCCTGGGCTTGGTTTATCCCCCTTCTCTCATCTATGCAAGGATGTTATTTGCAAGTGTTTTATGTAGTCCCCAAAGGAGGGGAGAGTACCCACTCTCTGACTGGGGCAGTGGATCTGAGCTGGACATTGGACAGGAATTAGAGTCATCTCTATGAGAGAGGGGGTTTCTTGCTTCTACCACAAGGTCACCCCCATTTATTTGCTGAGGGATCTTTGGGGGAAATTCTTTAATGTCTTTGAGTTCTGCTTCTTTGTTTACAAAGTGGCACAATTAGATACTGGGATAGATACTGTTTTGGCATGTGTCAGCTTATTTACTATTATCCCAGTTTTACAGATGAGAACAATTTTTAAAAATGTAACACACACTGAGGATATTTTCTTGGTAGCTACTGTCATGTAACTCAGCAAATGTTGGAATCCCATCTCATTTCCAAGGTCTTGAGCATGACCTAGAACATGAAATCTACTAATGACTTTAGGGATTGTTCTTTGCCTGTTCTTCAGCTGCAGAGGAAAAAACGAGGACCGGAGAGCAGGAGTACTTGCTAAGAACATACAGCAAATGAATGACAGAGTTGGTATCAGAATCCTACATCTTGGCTCCCACTTCAGTGCTCTGTCCACTAAATACAGCTTGACATTAAAGGTTTCATGGTCAGGGTCATGGTCAGGGTCATCCTCAAAACTGAACTCATGGTAGAGGGCTAGAGGTGGGGGTCCTTACTTACTCCATTCTAAAGAATTGGATACAGTAAGTCTTCATTAATTCAGAATTAGTGACAGAATTACTTCAGAATTCAGCCTGGGTCGGGATGAAATTGGCTTCTGAATAAGAGAAAAGTATTTATTGATAATGACTAAAGCCAAATTTTAAAATGGCAGAACTTCTGAGAACATTTTCTTATAGCTACTGTCACATATGTAACTTAGTGGCTGAGGGTGACTAAGTCACCAGACTGAGAAGACCTTGTTATGCTTTCTCCTTACAATGACTTTGAGGCTGAGTGGTTGTTATTCTCACTTTACAGAAGAGGAAACTGAGTCTAGAAAGGTTATTAACATCCTTAGGGTCACACAGCTGATAAGTGGGCTCAGAACCTAGGAGTTCTTGATACTTGCACCCCAGCTTCTTCCAGAAGCTCACATCAGTAAGGCAGTCAACAGTTACGAAGACCCGTCCAGGTGCTAGGTGCCCATCTCATTCAAAGAAACAAATTACAAGCACTTTAGAAACATTCATCTATCCACACAAAAATGTCTTGCCTATTTTAATTGGTCCCTTAACATAGCCCTCTTCTTTGGTGTGAGTGAATTTATCAAACATGGAGGCTGTGGTTAGGTGGTGGTTAAGAGCAGAGGCATGTTTATCAGCCAGGCGGCTTTGGGCAGCTTACTCAGTCCTTCTGGTTTTAGTTTCCTTATCAATAAATCAGTGATAATAATAATGACCCCTCACATAGCTATTTAGAAAAATTAAGTCCTTATAAATGGCTGTAGTGCAATGTCAAGTACTTAACAACATTAGCTGTTATCACGTTATTAAGAGTAAAGAGAAGCTGGGTATGGTGGTGTACACCTTAAACCCTATACTTGGGAGACTGAGGCAGGAGGACTGGGAGTTCTTGGTCAGCCTGAACTACATAGTGAGACATTGTCTTAAAAATAAAAAACCAAAACCAAAAACAAAAGTGAGGAGATGGCAGTCCATTTAAGGATATTCCATACTTTGGGATTTTTAGCAATCTAAACTACATCCCTAGTTAATATGAATTGGTGAACCTTATTACAAAAAATGTTTCTTTATTACAAAAAGTCTTTGAGCAGATAAGTCAGTTGAAACGTATTGGGGTTAAGTGACTAACTTAAGGCCACAGTCTACAGTGGTAGAAATTGCCATTGGGCTTACTTTCTACCAATTGCCTTTTTAGTAGAGAAATCCTGCAACCCTTACCAAAACTCAATTGTCTTCTGAGAGCTCTATGCCTATTTTTTTCTTGCTCTCTGTTTAAAGTATTTTCTGCATACCAGGAATTCTAAGTTAGAACACTAGCTGAGGATAGAGGTGAGGACACCTCAGAAGGGACCAATGTGCTTTTCATCCATGAATCCCAGTGTACCTTTTTGCTGGGTGAGTGTGCACACATCTATGTTTAAATGGTGGTGAGACTGGAATGGGGGGGGCTGTTGCTGAGTGGAAATAGGCAAAAAGAATGACAGGAGCATCTTTCTTTCCCTCTGGTGGTTTCAGTAGATTGTGAAGAACAGAGGAGTGAGAAGAAACTAATTTTTATTCCATCTCTGTCATTTTTGCCCCCTTTGCAAAATCAGGATTCAGACTTTATCTATTAAGTTATTCTCTGGCAGAAATGCACTGATTCTATAAGCCATTGCAGAAAGTCCATGTAAGCAGTATGGTACCTGGTACAGGGAGAAGGTCCCATGAATGGGGCTCAGTAACTATCAAAATTATTCTCTCAGTACTTTATGCTTATGAAAACTAGGAATTCTTGCCTGTCTGACCCACTACATTGGTGGCTGACAGGATCAAGGGACACAGTGACCATGGATGGGCTTAAGAGGTTGTAAGGTGAGGCATAGACATCATGGAGCCATCCTTCCTTCCCTGTGCCTTCAGTGTACATGGACTACACTGCTCTATCATTCTTTATTCACTCTACAAATTACTATTGAGAATTGCTGTGAACCAGAAATATATAAGGCACCATGGTGAGCAAGGTCTGCCCTCTGGAACATCTCTGTGGAGGGGTCGTGGGGGAGGAAGACAGACAATACACAAATAAATATATACTCCTTAATCATGAGTCTCTTGTCTTAATTTTGTGAACATAGCGTCCTATCCTTTTTCTTTTCTATTTGTCTTTTGTCTTCTTCCACTGCTTTTCAGCAAATGTTTTGGACATGGTAGATGCTAATTCGGTGCTCGGTTAGTCTTAATAACTTCTTATAGCATATTGATTAAGTATATGGTCTCTCTAGAGTTCAAAATCCAGCTGCATTACATATTTCTATTTATTTTTAATAAAAATTATATATGTTTAAGATGTACACCATGAAGTTTTGACACACGGATACATGGTAACATGATACTACAAATGAATGTATGTGAATATCTTCCCACAGTTATCACTGTGTACATATAGTGCTAGCATCTGAAATCTCTCTTAGCAAATTTCCAGTGTACAATACAGCTTTACTGACTATAGACCTCATCCTGTATGTAAGAGCTCTAGACTTATTTGTCCTATAGTACTGTAACTTTGTACCCTTTGACCGTTATCTCCAGTCTCCCCCACCTCCCTGCCCTTGATAACTGTACTTCTATTCTTTTCTTACATACATTTAACTTTTTATTATCTCACAGATAAGTGAGAGTACACAGTTTATTTTTTTTCTGTTTTGGCTCCTCTGTTGCTCATTAATGATCAATTCCTTTGGGCTCAAGTTTCCTTATCTGTGAAATGAGAGATTGGGCCCACCTATTTGGGGGTAATGGAGCCATTTAAGAAACTGCTGAATGCTGTGAACACCTTCTACCAATAGGTAGACACCTGTACAGACACGCTTGTCATTTTGCATGTAGAGAGTTCTCTTTGATGGGCTGGCTCTCATCAGCCGTCATAGCTCTGGCACCCCTTTTCCACAGGTCTCTCTAGAGCCAAGCACACATCTCCTCCAGCCAAGCATGCCCTTCCCCTCCCTTCTTGTCCTGGCTTAGACTGTTTTTCTTCTGTCATTCACTCTTTTTCCAAAGCTAAGATGGCTGCCAGCCAAGTCACACACTGTGACGTTATGAAACCAAGCAAAGCCAGCGAAAGTGAAACCTCATTCCATGTGCATTCCTATGCTTTGGTCAGACATGGAGTTTCCCTATGACTGTGGGGGTGGGGAAGCTCTGCCTCTTCTGGCTGCTCTTAACGAAGTGCCTAAAACAGGGAAAGTCCACCCAGCCTCTAAGAACCTGGGCCCCTAAGAAAGCAAAGCCATTTTATTCCCAAAAGCTTTAATTTTCTTCATCTGCAAGTTGTAGAGTTGGTTCTTCTTTCCTCAGAGGAGGGAAACGACCACCTTACCACCTGCAACAGCAAGTTGCTGTATCACTTTCCTTCTTTCTGTAGGATCCTGCTTGGGGCAGGTGCTCTGCTGGCACTGGTTGAAGGATTTTCAGAAGGCAGCAGCACAGGTGCAAGCTGAGGCCTCCCAGCAGGCTCAGGGGATGTGCTCAGGTGGAGACAGGATTCAGACCCCATCCAGGACCCTTTTTACTACATCCTGCCCTTGCCTTTTTGTCCCAGCTCTGGTTTGTTCTTTCTGTGTTATTCACTTCTATCTCTTTCCTTTCTTCTTTTCCCTCCTTGTCACTAAATACGTTTTTCAGTAGGTCAGGGGTACTGACTTTAACAACTGCACTAATAGTTCCGACCACATTCAGGCCGGACGGTTGCAGTCTCCCCCCCACTCTTCTCACCTTTCACCACACAGGACCGTGGCTGTGAACACCCACTTGTTTTCTGCAGCTGCAGACCGCATGTGGTGTGTTTGTTGATGGGAAATGTGCTCATCTGCGTGGGGTTTCTGAAGGAGCCATGCAGGGTATCTTAGGGCTCAGATGGCCATAGGAGTGAGGCCCACAGGGAAGCATGGTTCTTCCAAAATTGCTGGGTGACAGATGACTTCAGGTCCTATTCCT